GTTGGTGAGGAGGGAAGAAATGGAACCCTTATGGGTAACTGGTGGGAGTATAAAATTGTACAGCCACTTTGGAAATAATTCTGGCAATTTCCTAAACAGTTAAACACAAGCTTGCCACAAACCCAGCAATTCCACACCTCAGCATCCACTTAAGAGAAATGCAAACATGTGTCTACACTGGGATGTGTGCTAGAAACCTCACAGTTGCTCTGTTTTTAACAGCCACAGCTGGAAGCAACCCAAACGTCCATCAGCCATTGGATGGATAAACAAAATGGCATCTCTCTAAAAAGCAGAACATCTCTCAGCAATAAAAAGTGTCCCCAAGATTACTCTTTGCTCTCAATGTTTCATTCTGGGTAGTCACTATAGCTGTGCCTCAAGATGACTAATATTTCTCCTGCAGTGTCTGCTCTGCTGTTCATCCCATCCTGTGTGCTTCTCATCTTGCACATCACACTTCTCATCTCTGGACGTTTCTTTTTTTTCTTTTTTTTTGAAACGGAGTATTGCACTGTCACCCGGTCTGGAGTGCAATGGCGCCATCTCGGCTCACTGCAACCTCTGCCTCCTGGGTTCAAGCGATTCTCCTGCCTCAGCCTCCCGAGTAACTGGGATGACAAGTGCCTGCCACCCTGCCCAGCTAATTTTGTGTATTTTTAGTAGAGACGGGGTTTCATTCTGTTGGCTAGGCTGGTCTCCAACTCCTGACCTGGTCATCTGCCTGCCTCAGCCTCCCAAAGTGCCGGGATTACTGGCGTGAGCCCCCGCACCTGGCCTCATCTCTGGATGTTCCATCTGCGTCCTTTTCCTATCTTCTCTGCCTCTGCCTTACCCTTTTCAGCATAAGGATTTCAGTTGTAAAACTGTTTTGATGCCCCCATACCTACCATCTGCTGAGGGACATCTCATTAATGTTTCTCGTTAGAGCCAACAAATGGGCACAGAAAGCAAGACATCAGTTCCTGGCCTGCAAGCAAACCACACCACATGCCTTTGTAAATCATCTCCAGATTCTGTGGAGCCAAGTGTGCTCTTCCCGAGATCACACTATGAAAGAATTCCCTTGCAAGTGAGCTTTGAACCCAAAGTGGTTGGACTCACATGGAGATCTGTGGCCCGCACTTTGAGAAGCACTGGCGTAAAGCAGCATCTTCATATTCATGCATTTACTACAGGTCTAATCACCCAAGACACACACTGCCGGGCACCTATGCCATCTATCCCACAGGCAGGATGTGGTGCTAGGCATAGGCCAGCAACAGTGAAACAGGCAGGGAGGAAGACACCTGACTTGGACAAGGTCTAGGAAGATGTCTGAAGGAGGGGAGGCTCCGAAACTGAGTCTGGAAGGGGAGTGAGAGTTCGGTTGCCCACAGAGGGTGGAGGGGTCCCTGGCAGAGGCTACCACCTGAGCAATCCTGGGGCCAAGAGAGCACACCGGCTATTCCAGGAACTCTCGATCAGAGCTTCTCCCAGTGTGGTCTGCAGACCTGTGCCAGTCCAGCCTTTGCTGCAGTCCTCGATGAGATGAAAACAAAAACCGAGAGTAAGTGTTTGGAAATGTTTGTAGAAAACTGACAGAGTAATTTTATGTCTGTTGAAATTAATAATAAAAAATGAAATCTGGGCCGACTGTGGTGGCTCATGCCTATAATCCCAACACTTTCGGAGGCGAAGGTGGGAGGATCACCTGAGGTCGGGAGTTTGAGACCAGCCTAACCAACATGGCGAAACCCTCTCTCTACTAAAAATACAAAAATTAGCTGGGGTGGTGGCGCAAGCCTGTAATCCCAGCTACTCGGGAGGCTGAGGCAGGAGAATCACTTGAACTGAACAGGCAGAGGTTGCAGTGAGCCGAGATGGTGCCACTACACTCCAGCTGGAGGATAGAGCAAGACTCTGTCTCCCAAAAAACAAAGTGGCGTCTGTATTTCGTATGCTGTTTGCTTTCAGTTTTTGAGTAACTTCTTTTTTGCTGTAATTTTCAAAATACCATCTGTGATGGACAGAAAAATACCATTCCATCACCACAGATGATTAGAGATGCACCAAATAGTTCCATCTGGATGGACACGGGGACAGAGTGGGAGGGAGGAGGTTGGGCAGCGAGAGCAGGGGCAGGAATCAGGCCAGGAGGGGTCACATGGACCTTGTCAGGAAGTCTGAGCTTCCCACCAAAAGCAAAAGGAGCTGCTTTAGGCTGTCCAGCAGGTGGACTCCACCAGGCTTGCCTTTCAGATGGTTTGAGTCCAAGAAGACTCCTGAGGAGGGAGTGTTGAAGTTGGGTTTTGTAGTACAAATAGGAGTTTGCCAGGTGTGCACAATTATATTGGGTAACTATATGAAGGATGGGCTGTAAAGAGGGAAACTAGGGGTACATGGAGAAGTGATACGAGTCTTAGGAGAAGTCAGTAACATTTTCCAAGAGTCCCTGGAGCTCCTTCCCAGAGCTGCTGCCACTGCCTGGTCATGAGGGCAAGGGCCTGAGCCCAGGACCCCAGGCTCTGGAATTTCTCTACTGCAGGGATAATGGAGCTGCAGCAGGGTGCAGATCTGTAACAAGGCCTGGTGCAGACAGCACACTTCACCCACACCAGGAAGGAAATGAGAAAGGAGTTCCTTTTCAGTTTTTTGCATTTGAGGTAAGTTTTTGTGATTTTTTTTTAATTCCTCAGAATCAGTGATTTGGCAGTGGCATCCAAAACAGCCAGGCCATCCGTCAGTCACCTGGTGGAGAAAATCTCGATGGTGAAGGGAACATTTGAACGGGAAGCGGCAGCAGGGCGTTCGGTGGCGGGGGTCAGGCGGAGGAGGTGACTAAGTGAGTCACTGCAACACTCTGCTGCTACAATTTAAATTTTAAAATAAACACCTTCTTTGCAGTCGTAGAGATTTCAAGGGAAATAAATAAATATGTAACACATCTGTCCTGCATTACTATTTGCTTTAACTCTCTGCAAAGTCAAGACTGGGGAGTATGTGGGAGAAAAATAAATGTCAGGTTCAATCTCAGAGTGAAGCATCCTTCTTCCAAGCCCCCAACACTTGCCCGGACCTTGCTGATGGCTCCGGGGTTCAGTCCAGAACAGATGCTCTGCAGGCTGTGCCTCCTCTCTAGCCAGGCACAGCATGGGGGGTACATCAAACCCAGGACCCCGGGACGCCCAGCCTGCTTCTCAGGAAAGGCTTCTGTCCACCCACTCAGAGTGGGGATTGATTACAATCCAAAGGGCAACAGGAGAAAGGTTATGAATTCTGCCTCTTTGGGTCCAAGAAGACTCTTGAGCAGGGAGTGTTGGAGCTGGGTTTTGTGGTTTGAATAGGAGTTTGCCCAGTGTGCATAGCCAGAGAGGAAGTGCCAGCTGAGAGAACAGCATGGACAAAGACACAGAAGTATGCAAGGGCACGGCATCCAGAGACACTTGTGTGCAGTTCGGGGTTCTGGAGCACAGAGCAGGAGGCTGGCAGGAGATTCGGTTTGAAGGGGTCATCAGAGGGCAGAGTACAAAGCACCAGGATAGAGATTCTGCCTTCTAGACATGGGAAGCCTTGGGCTATTGTAAGTAAAAGTGCAGTGATGAACAGGGTGGATGTGTGTGTCTGTGGGGGTGGGGCAGATGAGGCAAAATGGGGGGCCATGGTGTTTACCTGATGGTGATTTCCATCACTGAGAGGAGTGAGAGGCGTTTGTGCACCAGCGGCTTTTCACGCAGGCAGGAGCAGCGTCCCTCCTGCCGGTCTCTGCTGCTGGACCCACACAAAGCCACGGTGACTCAGGGAGGAGGTGGACAAAGGCTTTTGGGACTAAAACACTCTGGCCTGGGAGAGCCCGTGCCTTTCCGAGTGACGCAGACCCTGGAGGCTCCATTTCCGAGATGCCGGACGGCTCCTCCTCCCCTCTTCTGCAGACGGGCACGCCCAGGCCACAGGAGGAAAGGACCCTGGAGGATCCCCCTGTGCTGGCGTGCGGAGGAGGACCGGACCGAGGGCAAGAGGCGCAGCTCCAGTGGCTTCTCCGGAAGCCATTCCCCACTGTTTCACACGGGCCTGGAGCCTACTTCTCAGACTGGCTTTGGATTTCTCCCCGCTGACCCTGACTGGGCTGGGCGCCCATCACCCATAAACCCCAAACCCAAACAGCCAGGGCCTGAACCTGGTGGTCTGCAGAGGAAGGGCCTCGATGCCGGCTGTCATCATGGCTGCACCTGCCCAGAAGCCTCCAAGCACGTCCACTCCAGTCGGGGCCACTTTCAGACCTTGTGGTCCAGCCTGGCTGGGAGTCCTGATAGTGAGTCTGAGGCCAAGAATCCACCCTTCCTCTCCCACGTACCTCGCTGCCCCCACACACCACGCTTACCTCCACACACCCCCAATCACAAGTCCCCTCCTGGCCCCTGGTGGCAGGGCCCGCTCCACCAGCACACCTGCCTTCAGTCCCACCCCTGTGCCCACCCCTCCAGTTCCCTCCGGCCACACCCATGCTGAGAAGACCAACAGAGTCCCTTCCCAGCCTCCACATCAACACCTCTGGTGGATTCTCCACCCTCGATTCTCTTTCAATCCCGTTACTCACACGAGGAGACCCCCTACTCACCGCACACTGGTCGGAGGCCTTGCCCCAAGGTGCAAACGTGGGTGGGTGAATGGACCTGTGACCTCACGCTTGCTGGCCTGGTTAGACCCAGCTTCTGCTTTGATTGTACTCGGCTCCTGCCTCAGCCACGTGTCCCATGGGCCACACCCCCAACAGAGGGCTCCCGGCTCCCCAAGGCCTGGACACTAAACCCCCACCTTTCTCAAGGGCTGGTTCTCCTTGTCTCACCCCCAAACAGCCCCTGGTTCCTCGACCTGCCTGCACGAGGCCTCCACCGTGCAGGCACCAGGGGCTCCTCCTGGGAAAGCCAGTTCCCACCAGAAGTCCCAGCCTGGCTCAGAGAACGTTCCCTGCACTTCCACTGAGCCATATTGATGCAAATGATGGAGACACTGAAGCGGAATGATAACTAGCGAAAATATTTTTTTAACATCCTTGCACATTTTTGTTTCTTCCTGAAATTAAATTAAAATTAAGCTTCTTTGGGAGGCAACGCTATAAGAAAATCTGCTGTCCTTTCATTCCATCCTGTTAGTTCAGTTTACAAAGCTATTATGCCCTTTACAGACGAGGAAACCAAGGCTCAAAGAAGGATTAAAACTATTCAGAATTCAGCTTCCAGAAACTTCCATGCCGCCATCCAACTTAAAAGAATTTCAGTAGTGAAACTTGGTAACTCAGAATACTGCATTTTACACATAAGATCGAGTTGGTAAAATATTCACTCCTCCAGGATATAAAGTACCTGACATTTTATGGGAACATTTTCTCTAGTTCAGAATCATTTCCTAATTACTCCAGATTTTCCACAGGATTGATGTTGGTGGACATCTGAGCACATGATCATTAGGGTTTTCGTCTGCCAAGTTCTGTGGTCTTTCGACACTTCAGCATCCAGGCCTCAGGAGGAACAAAAGCCAATCAGGGGACCACTTAAAGGGACAGTTGTTGCTGGTCAGGACGATGGCACTGCCTGAGGGGCAACTGTCGCTGGTCAGGACGATGGCACTGCCTGAGGGGCAACTGTCGCTGGTCAGGACGATGGCACTGCCTGAGGGACAATTGTCACTGGTCAGGACGATGGCACTGCCTAAGGGACAATTGTTGTGACTAGGATGGTGTCATTGCCTAAGGGACAATTGCTGCTGGTCAGGACGATGACATTGCCTAAGCAAACCTCCCATTCTTAGACTCAGGATTAGAACCAAGGAAAGCATGTCCCCTCAATGAGAATGTGATGCCTAGTCCCACGGCAGCAGTCACGGAAATCCTTATAGGACAGGGACAGAGTCCAGGCCTCTGGACACCAGCAGGATTTGAAACACCACCTGGAATTGAAGGAGAAATGGAGTCTCTCTAGACAGCCCATGCCCCTGATGTAAGGGACACCCCGTCCCCCCATGCAATGTGCCCCAGCCCCCAGTGCTAATGTCCCCACATTTCATTCACCTCTGGCCTGCTTACTTCTACGATTGTTCCAGGAATACCGACTACGGCTCCACCCTGGAGGTAGCAAATTCCACCTCCCCAAGAAGACACAGCCCAGGCCGGGAGCTGTGCATGCAGCTGGGAAAATCCAGCTCCAGCGGTGAAAGGAACGCAGAAGCTTCTGGTTTCCAACAAATGACAAAGCGGCCCAGGCCTGCCGGCAACCTTCCCTGAGCCAAGCCCTGTAGGCACCATAGCAGCCAGAGAGAGGTGGGGGCTATGCCGGGTGACCACTCACAGGCCCTGAGGGGCTCTGAGGTCGCAAAAGGTGTCCGCTTCCTAGGGTGGAAAACGCAGCCGTCCACAGTGGAGAAAAGTGAGGGTTTTCAGGGGGGTGAGCAGGCAGAGAGGGGAGCACCCTTTCTTCCCCTTTCTTCCCATGTTGTGCTGAGTGAGCCAATGCCAGACAAAGACCTATGAGGGAGAAATGCAGCTGCGATCACCTCGGCGGAGGCTGGGTCTCGGTGACATGGGGACTGCTTTCAGCAGACGTGCAGGGGAGCACGCTAAAGAGCTGAATGCCTTCCCCGCCCCAGTTCCCACACGCCCAGCCTCTCCCACCCTCCACTCACTCTGCGCTGGAAAGTGGCTGGGCCTGCTAAGCTGTGCCCTTCCTCCCTGGGATGCGGCTGCCTGTGGAGGCCACAGGGAAGAAGGTCCCCCTTCTCATGGGTTCATCTTATAGGCCCCTTTAAGCTCTGGCCTCTAAACAAGCCTCTAACGTGAAGGCAACGTTTTGGTCTCCATCTTTACCCTTTCTCACCTGTCTAGGCCTGGGGGCCACAGGCAGCGAGAAGAGTGCTAATCACTGGAGGCCTCATGGAGACCCCAGGAGGGAACTACAGATCTGATGATCCTGCCAAGCCCATGGTCTCTCTCCCCCGCCCCACCACCCCCAGATCTGGAAGATTACACGATTAACACTAAGAGTAAGATGAAAATCTTTTTTAAAAAGCAGTGCAGGCTGGGCACGGTGGTTCACACCTGTAATCCCAGCATTTTGGGAGACCGAGGCAGGCGGATCCCCTGTGGTCAGGAGTTTGAGACCAGCCTGACCAACATGGAGAAACCCCGTCTCTAGTAAAAATACAAAATTAGCCAGGCGTGGTGGCAGGTGCTTGTAGGCCCAGGTACTCAGGAGGCTGAGGCAGGAGAATCGCTTGAACCCGGGAGGCAGAGGTTGCGGTGAGCCGAGACCATGCCATTGCACTCCTGCCTGGGCAGCAAGAGCAAAATGCTGTCTCAAAAAAAAAAACAAAAAAAAAAAAAAAAAAAAAACAAACAAACAAAAAAAACAGTGCAAGGGCGAGATACATAGACTAGCCCTGGAGACTCCTTCCTGAGGCATCTCTCCTCTGTGGACAACCCAGGAGGAAAGCCGAAAGCCAGGCCGAGCCGCCATCACATCCCCAGGGACGCATCCCTGGCCACCGTGCTTAATGTCCTCAGGGATTCTGAGCTCACTCACAATGCAAAATCATGGCATTTAGGGGCTCTCATCAATATGTTTTGAACAAAACTATATCAAAGTAGAAAGGAGAGATATTATAAAAGAGAAAAGACGAAGACATGCAGCTGAAGTAAATCATCAAGAAGACTACACTGGAGATGATACACTTGGAAGAAATAATAGTTGGTGTTTAAAACTGAGTGGATGAGTTGAGTGACAGAATGGATACAGCTGAGGATGTATCAGTATGTGGAAGAGCAAGATGGGGCCAGCACCATCTTGAAGGTGGTGTGGAGAGACGAAGGGGGAATGGAGAGATGGAAATTGCAAGGAGGGAGCTGGAGTGGAGAGCAAGAGGGGGCCAGCAAGGCCAGGAAGCAGGAAAGGGGAATGGAGAGACAGGAAATGCAAGGAGGGAGCTGGAGGAGGGAAGTGCCAAGTGCATGCAACAGAAGTGCCAGAAGGGCAGAGAAATGAACAGAGATTAGAGAATGCCCTAAATGAGCAAGAAATAAAGAAAATGCAAGACCTTGAATTGAAAAGCCTCAAAGAGTCCAAAAAAAAAAAGAAAGAAGAAAGAAAGAAAGAAAGAAAGAGAAAGAGAGAGAAAGAAAGAAAGAAAGAGAAAGAAGCAAAACTAGACAAAGGTAAAATTCATTTTTAAAACATCAGAAATAAGGAAAAAATTTAAAAGTTATCAGGAAAAAAAAGCCAATAAATATAAATAAAAATCAAGTTGGTATCACAATTGTCAACCATGGAAGCCAAGCAATAGTGTAACAATAATTTTTAAATATTAAGAAAAGAATGATACCCAGATTGTTATATCAAGATAATATATTATTTAATACTGGGGTAAAATAAGATTTTCTCAGGCATAAAACAATGGATGAATTTGCACTGAATTTAGGAGCCTCTGGTCATCAAAAGATATTAGGTGAGAGTGAGAAACAAGACACAGAGCAGGAGAAGGTAATTCCAGCACTTTCAACCAAAAAACAGAGCTCATCTTCAAAGCATATATATGTGGTTTTGTTTTTGTTGTTTTTGTTTTGAGACAGGGTCTTGCTCTGTCTGCCAAGCTAGAGTGCAGTGGCATAATCACAGCTCACTGCAGCCTCAACTTCCCAGGTTCAAGCGATCCTCCCACCTCAACCTCCTGACTAGCTGGGACCACAGGTGCACACCATCACGTCTGGCTAATTTTGTTTATTTTTAGTAGAGATGGGGTCTCACTATGTTGCCCAGGCTTGTCTTGAACTCCTGGACTCAAACGAGCCTCCCTCCTTGGCCTCCCAAAGTGCTGGGATTACAGGTGTGAGCCACTGCACCCAGCCTAGCGTTTTATTTCTTTAACTCACACAAATCAATAAAAAGACAAGCAACTCCAAAAGGTAGACAAAAATATAGGAACAGATACTTAGAAAGAGAGGATAAAAATGATTAACAAACGAATCAGGGGAAGGCAAAATAAAGTCATGCCAAGACGTGCCTACTAGACTGAAAAGCAAATGAATGTATTTGTAACTTATTAGCCCTTTAGGAAACAACTGGAAATATGAATATCAGTGTGGTCACAGAACAATCACAGCTCACAAACTGTGGTGGTGAGAGATCTAATTGGAATGTCAACTTTGGGACACACTTGATATTATTTAGTCAAGGTGCAGGTACATAGCTCCTACTCAGCAATTCACGATTCAGTACAAACCCTAGGCAAACTCACTGGCATGCCTACTAGGACACATATGTGAAACCCTTCCTGGCAACAGGGCCTGTAACTGCCCCAAACTAGAAACCAACTCCAGTGTCCACCGACTGAACTGTAGAAAATTAAATGGTGGTACAACCATACCGCAAATTCCTAGACTGTGCAAAAATTAGTAAAGTACAGGGGCATCCAAAAATATGCATGAAACCCAAAACATAAAAACATAATGTTGAGTGAAACAGGACAGGTACAGTTCCACTGATGTGAGACTCACCTATGATTTCATTGCATGAAACGGCACAGGCAGAACTGAATGTCCAAAGCTAAAACCATAAAGAAATGCAAGAAAATGAGTCCACGGTGACGATAGTTGTTACCTAGAGGCGAGTGAGATAGAAAGGATTGCAGACAGCTGGGGGCACACAGGGCACCCCAGGTTGCTGGTAATATTCCATCTCATGGCCTGGTGTTGAGGTCATGAGCACTTACAGGGGAGTCTCCCTTTCCTTACTTATCAACAGGTGCAATGTTTGTGCCATTTGCCATATGTCTGTATTACCATTCAGAGAAGGAAAAGAAGTAACATTCAAAGAAGGAAGGAAGGAAGGAAAAAGGGAAAGGGAGGGGGAGAGAGGGAGGCAGGCAGGTTGCAACAGGAATCTGCATCACACAGCACTGGGGAGAAGACGGGGGGGCTCTTCCCCTGAGGAGTGGCAAACTTGAGTCCTCATCACGGATGCAGACCTGGGTCTCTGCAAACTAAATTCTCGGCACACAAAGAGCAGAATCTCTAGTCCAAGAGTTAAATTCAGAATACCAATGTATTGATTGATGATGAGAAATAAAAATGGCTATGAACACTTACATAAATTAATACATGAAATAATGAAAAGGAAAGTATGTGTGTAGTTTCCAAAAGTTGTTTCAATAAGAATTTTTTTTGAATACAAGGTAAAACTTTTTAGTATTGGGATAAATGGGTTTTAAGGTGAAAAACATTATGATGACAAAAAGCAGTGCTATATACTGACACAACAGTGTGCTAGATCAAGAAGATATAGTGGTTATGAATATATATGCCCTTTAAAATAGCCCATCACAATATATAAAATAACAACTGACAGCACTACCAGAGAACAGAGACAACAAAATTTATTGCCCAAGATCTTAACAAAGCCCTATCAGAAACTGGTAGATTAGAGGGACAAAAAAAAAAAAAATCAAAACAAAAAAGCATAAATACATATAAAATTTGATTGACAAGATTATTAAAAATCCCAGAGCAAAATATATGTCTGTGTGGAGGGCAGCTTTCACAACCAAGGATGACGGATGAGGTTGGAAGCTACAATCAGCCCAAACAATCCACCCAGCTTAGTCTGTTCCCTGAGCACAAAGCAATGAAATTAGAAACCAATAACAAAAATGATTACAAAAAATAAAATACCATATGTTCAAAAACTAAAACGTCATTCTGCTAAAAAGACTTTAAGATACAGAGTAAAAAACAAGAGATTACAAAATAATGGAGCCACACTGTAATGATAGCTGCATATGTTTAAATGTATTTATCAGGAAGTAAGAAAAAATGAGCTAAGTATTCAATTCAAGCAGAAAACAAACACGAAACAGAAGCAACCCAAAGGGAAAAAAAAAAAGAAAATAAAATAGATAAGGACATAAATCAATGAAATAGGGAAGATTAACAAAACCAAAAGCTATTTCTTTAAAATATTAATAAAATATACAAAAAGCTCTGGCAAATCTAGTCAATACAATAAGGGGAAGATGCAAATTTTAAAAACAGAATCCAAAAGAGGAAGTAACTGCATAAACAATGTAAAATCTTTTTTATAAAGTCATCAATTTGAAAACACAGGCAACATGGACACATTTTTGGAAAAGTATAATATTCCAAATTGGAGCAAGGATAAATAGATTTTCATTTAAAATTCATAATGGTAATTAAAACCTCCCCCAAGAGGAAAAAAAAAAGGCAGTAAAAAATCAGGCCAAGAACATTCCACAAAAAAAGTTACATCAAACTTTTAAACAAGAAAGAATCTATGTCTTATACAAATCACAAGTTGTTCCAAACAATGACAGAGAGACAGAGAGCTTCTGTTAACTATAAAATTGTTTGCTTGATTCCAAAGCTGGTTTAAAGAAAAAAAAAACACACACACACTTTAAAATGCGAAGTATAGCTCTCTTCACTTATGAACAGTCTTACATACATATTTGCTAATTGACTTTAATGTTGTGTTAAAATAATATATTATAGAGTTCATCAAAAGAATGAAAAAAATTTTAACATCAGAAAACCTATGAATTTAATTCACCACTTTAAGATACTAAGGTGAAGAAAGAAAAAAATATTGACTAGGTCAGTAGAAGCAAAAAAAAAAAAAAGCACTTATAAATATCCAACATATTTTGAAATAAAATTATTTACATCACATTATTATTATTACATACAGTATTTCCAGAAAACTACAACTAAAGGAGAATGTTCTTTATCTGATAAATAACTACGCTTGTCTTTGACAAATACCATATTCAGGAGATGGACTTGAAGCATGGCTCCTTTAAGACCGGAAACAAGAAAATGCAATGTTATTGCTACTGACAAAGCTGTCCAATGGACTCATCAAGAGAAAGATCAACAAGAGGTAGAAGAATATATCAAGACAAGTCAAGGCTATCCTTTTGCAGATGGTATGATCACCTAAATAGAAAATGCCTCAGAATCAATGCACGCAGTATTGGAACTAAGAGTTCTACAAAAATTAAGAGGTGTGATTTCAACTGTACCATGATATTTCTTCACACTGGTAATTTCTAACTAAAACATGTAATAATAAAACAATATAACATTTACAATAACAAGAAAAACTTAAATATAATCTAAGAATAAATCTAACAAAGAATTCATGATTCCTTAGAAAGTTTTAAAATTAATTAAAGGATATAAAAAAAGATTAGAATAAAGAGAAGATATACCATATCCCATAATGGGATAGTTTAACGTTTGAAGAAATGGCAGTTCTCCCCCAAAGCCATACTTACATGAGATTCTGATAAAAAAAATTTAGGAGCAATTTTTGAAGACTTCAACAGTCTTATTCTGACATTTACATGAAAAAATAAAACTCTTCAAAAAATAAACAATTTCAGAAAAAGGGAGAATAAAAGAGACTTGGCCTATAAGATATGAAAAAAATTCCACAAAATACTACTTTTAAAAAATAGTGCAAGTTTTGGTATAGAAATATTAAATTCATAAGTGGAATAAAACAGGAAGCTCAACGCCAGACCCATGTGTGTTTAAGGATCTGTTTTATGAGAGAAGTGACGCACGTCAGTGAGACAGCAACAGACTTTTTTTAATAGATGGCTTTGGGTACCACTGGCTTGCCTGATGGGTAAAATTAAAATTGGAACTCTTCCTTACATCTTAAATAAAATGATCTCTAGATTGATTAAAAACTCAAATGAAAAGGAATAAAAATAAAGCTAATAGAAGATTGTTGGAGAAAACTTTTTATCTTGAACTGAATATGCACATTTTATGTAATACCCCAAATGTACAAAATCTAAGGTGAAAAAAATTGGATTTTACCATAGCGATGTGGAAGGGGGGCAGGGAAGTGCTGGGTACAGGAGGGTGTGGTCCCTGGCTATGGCTCCACCCCAGGGCCTGTGCCCATGGACCTAGGTCGGGACAGGCATTTCTGTTTTCCTGCCCAAATGTTGCATTTCCCAAGACCACCCTGGCCCACCACACACCCATCTATGCCTATGACCCCATCGGACACACACACGTGGCTGGACTTCAAGAGGAACATATCAGTGGAAGAAGACACAACAGCTGGATGTCAAGAAGGCCCCAGCGGAACAGCACACTGACAGACACGGGCACAGGCTTGGCAGGCCATTGACCTGCAGAACGACGTGGAGTTCATGGAGTTCAGCCAGGGAGGTCAGAGGAGAGCCTGGGCCGCTGAGCCGCCCGACTCTAAGGGAAATCCATCTTCCCACTCTATCTCCCTTCTGGCTCCCTATCCATCTGCCGAGAACTTCCACTCAATAAAACCTTGCACTTAAGCCAGGCACAATGGCTCACGCCTGTAATCCCAGCACTTTGGAAGGCTGAGAAGGGCGGATCACGAGGTCAGGAATTCAAGACCAGCCTGGCCAATATGGTGAAACCCCATCTCTACTAAAAATACAAAAATTAACTGGGCGTGGTGGCGAGCGCCCATAGTCCCAGCTACTCGGGAAGCTGAGGCAGGAGAATCACTTGAACCCAGGCGGCAGAGGTGGCACTGAGCCGAGATTGTGCCACTGGACTCCAGCCTGGGCCACAGAGCAAGACTCCGTCTAAAAAAAAAATAGCAATAATAACAACAACAAAAAAACACCTTGCACTTATTCTCCAAGCCCGCGAGTGATCCGACTCTTCCAGTACACCACGGCAAGAAACCCCGGGATACAGAAATCCCTGTGTCCTTGTGGTAAGAAAGGGTGTCTAATTGAGCTAACACAAGCTGCCTATAGATGGCTGAACTAAAAGAGCGTCCGGTAACACATGCCCGCTGGGACTTCAGGAGCTGTAAACATTCACCCCTAGATGCTGCCATGCAGTCGGAGCCCCACAACCGGCCCATCTGCATGCTCCCCTACGGGTCTGAGCAGCGGGGCACTGAAGAAGTGAGCCACTCCCCCGTCACACGCCCTGCGAGAGGGATAAGGGAACCTTTCCCCTTTCAATAGCAACATTAAAAATCTGGGTTTGAGATAAAAAGGCATCATTAAAGTAAACAAGTGACAGACTAGGGGGAGAATGACTACATCTTTTAAAATCAACCAGATATTGGCATCTAGAACATGCAAGGAAATGGTGATATCCAACAAAATAAAAACAATAGACTATTAAAATGGTTAAGGTATACAAGTAAGAGCTTCACAGAAAGGGAAACGTGAATGGCTGCTAAGTGAGGAGGAGACACACAACTTCCTTGGCAACCACAGAGGTGCAGGTTAAAACGATGATAAGATTACATTTTGCACCCATTCATCTAACTGACAAAACTTTCAAGGAGTGTAAAAATGCTGGTGAGGGTGTAGTAAAATGAACCCCTCACGCACTGCTGATGGGAATGTGGTCTGCCACACAGAGCAAACTGTCTGTGCCAAGTGGAATTAACGGGCATCTCCTAGGATCCAGCAGTGCCACTCCTGAGTGAAAACCCAGGGAAATCCATAAAGACCCCAGCGTGTGGATGTTGCAGTAAGGTGTGTGGTGGGGGGAGCCAGAGGCAATTCAGGGGTCCATGACAAGAGGAATGGGGTAGGTGAAGGCACGGTGGATGCACGCTGTGAAGCGAAGGTTGGCAGAGGGCCATACAGAAACGTCAGTGCGTTTGCACAACAGTGGTGAGTGAAGAAAATTAGGAAACAAATGAGATCTATACATAGTAAAATAACATGTATGGAAATGTAAAATGAACACATAACCCTTGACAAATTAGATTTTTCAAAGCTACACAAATATTTAGGTACAGATGAAAACCCATTAGAAAGAGTGATTCTGTCGGAGGAGTGGAGAGGGGATGGGAGCTGGGATCCAGGATGAAGGAGAAACGGAATAAAACAACCAGAGGTCTTGTAGGGCATGATGGTGAGAATGGATTGTCAGTGAGGAGTCGGATGAACAACTCTATGAACCTGTGAATGAAAAGTATGGCTACGGCTACTATTAAAACTAATACTAATGACAATAGTGTGTAAGAAAAGCGTGGACTTTGTTCAAAACTTTAATATGCCAGCCAGTGAATGTGTGACCCTGAGAAAGTTACTTGCCTGTGTGAGCCTCAGTTTTCTCAAGCATGGAATGAAAATGCGAACAAAAATGTCTTCGTTTTTCCAAACTCAAGTCCAAAGAAAGGTCCAAATTCAAGAAGACTCTTTAACTATGATGAAAAGTCACTACCAAAACTGATTTTAAGCCCTGATACATTGAGACAATTTTTTTTTTAATCAGTAACCACATTTCTGAATGACAGCCAGTCAGTGGCAGCCTCACTGTCCCAACCCTGAGTCCACGGCCAAAGTCATCCAGTCTCTAAATGTTCCCCCTCCCAAGTCTGCCAGTCTTGGAGCTCCACGGCCAGTCTGCTCTGTTCAGGGTGACCACACTCTACAATCACAGCTCTCCCTTACTTAGCAAGAATTACCTTTCAGATTTTTGGTTTCAGCATTTCGTTTGGCAAGGATAATCAAGTCCAGCTTCTGGAGATCACGTCATGATCAAATGAGGCCATTTAGTAAGGGCCATTGAGTAGCAGTGTCTCAGCAGCCAGCCTGTCAGAGTTGGTCAAGCCTGAAGCCTCATCTGTAAACCACAGAAAGGAACAAGAAAACTGAGAAAAGATGCTGATAATGTAACGAATTGTTCTCATATGTGAATATACCTTTGTTGGCAGCCCAAGTCATGCCAGTATTTGTATTGACAAGCAAGTGGAAAAGTATACATTTAAGATAGCCTCTCTAGTGCACTGAGCCCCAGTGTAACTAATGAAATAATAATAAGGAATGTATAACTAAAAGCGAATAGAGGTAGGAATAGGAAACGTGATATCTGATTATCACTGTCACACGTTGAAAAGAATGTGAAAGGCCGGCAGGGGGTGGCTCGCACCTGTAATCCTAGCACTCTGGGAGGCCAAGGTGGGCGGATCACCTCAGATCAAGGGTTTGAGACCAGCCTGGTCAACATGGCGAAACCCCACCTCTATTAGAAGTACAAAAATTAGCCAGGTGTGGTGGCGGGCGCCTGTAATCCCAGCTACTCCAGAGGCTGAGGCAGGAGAATCACTTGAACTTGGGAGGCTGAGGTGGCAGTGAGCCAAGATCATGCTATTGCACTCCAGCTTGGGTGACAAGAGCAAGACTCCATCTCAAAAAATAAATAAATAGTATAAACAGAAAAGAATGTGAAAAGTAAAAATAAGAAATAAAGAATAAATGGAACAAATAGAATATATAAGGTAACATAAATTTTCAAATTTAAATTTGAAAATTTGAAAATTTAACTATGTTACCTTAGTTAAATACCTAAGAATAGAATTAAACTTTCCCCTCATTCTGAAAAAGAATGTATTTAAAAAGAAAAGTCACATAGCATCATACTTTTTGAGAAAATATTGTAAAATATTTTCTCAAAATATTGTAAAATATTGTAAAATATCAGATTAAATTAAAAGTAATGGGACTGTGTTTTCCAAATAAAGAGTAAAATTGTCAAATTGAATGATAAAGGAAAATTCAAATATATGCTACCTAAGAAAGACACATGTTAAAGATAAATATACAGATTGCATAACATATAGTGGGAAAATATACACCACACGAATGTTAACTGATAGAAAGTTGGTATGCTTATCATTAGACAAAATGGAATTTAAGACAAGAAGTGTTACTAGAAAAAAATAAGAAATATTACTAGAGAATAAGGAGAAACATTTCACAACACTACTAGAATTACATCTCAATTGGAAGATGTCACGATATAAGCAAGAATAAAAAATACTCAAATAAAAAGGAGATTCAGGCTGTGCATGGTGGCTCATGCCTGAAACTGCAATACTTTGGGAGACCGAGTAGGGAGGATTGCTTGACCCCAGGAGTTTGAGAGCAGTCTGGGCAACATAGTGAGGCTACATCTCTTACCTAAAAATTTTTTTTTTTAATTTTTTTTTTAAAAAGAAAACACAACTACAGACTAGATAGGTCTTAAAAGAACAATAAGGCATTTTGAATTACTTTATGCCAAAAAATTCTGAAACTTTAAATGAAATGTACAAATTCCTTGGAAAACACAACTTCCAAAAAGTTACACAAAAATGAATACCAAGTCTAGTCATTAATGTATTAGACAGTTTTAATCCATAGTTTTAAAAGTCTCATGCACACACACACAAAATTTCAATGGCTTCCTGGTAAATTCTTCAGAATACCTAAAGGTGATATAACACCACTGGGTACAAAAAGTACAAAGGATAAACATTAACATTCATACATGACACAACTAGCACCTAACTAAGAATAGAATTAAGCTTTCCCCTCATTCTGAAAAAGAATGTATTTTAAAAAGAAAAGTAACATAGCAAGCATCATACTTTTTGAGAAAATACTGTAAAATTTCTTCTGAGATCAGGAAAGAGAAAAGGATTTCTATTTTTTTCTATAATAAAGAAACAAGTAAGTAAATGCATAATAATTGGAATGAAAAAATTAAAAATGTCACACTTATGTAAGAAAATCCAAAATAAATACCTGAAAAATTTATGAGTATTATTAGATTTAATAAGGGATCATGGCAGAATTTCTTAATTTTAAGTCAAAATACTGAATAAACTATGTTTTTATCTCTGCAACAATAATTAGAAATTTTTTTTTAATTACCATTTAAAATAGTACCAGAAAACAAAATCTAGGACCTAGGAAATAAACTATTTACATAAACTGTATTAAAAACTACTATCATTGTTGACAAATATTTCAAAGCAGACCTAAATAAATGTATTTATAGATTTAAAGACACAATACTCTAAAGATATTAGTTTTCCCCAACTTTATCTAAAGATTCCATGTAACTCCAATCAAAATATCAGGGGTGTGGGTGTGTGTGTGTGTGTGTGTGTGTGTGTGTGTGTCTTCTTTCTGTCACCAGGTATTAGGAACCAATATAACCCACTGTCTAAATAAAAGACAGTATGAAAGAGAATTCTTGGAAGATGTCCAAGTAGAAGCACCAGGAATCCACTTTACCACAAATTGTCCTGGCAGAATCTGTCTGGTGTAAGTATTTTGGAACTCTGAAGTCTATTTGAAGGCGTACAAGTTCCAGGGTAAGACTTGCACAGTAAAATTGCAGTCAATTTTGGTCAGTTTCAGCTCTAGCTTAATGGCAAATACCCATCTTCCACCCCCCATGCCTATGCCAGGCATCCATGCATGTGTTCCTGAAGTAGCTTGTATGTAGCTTGTAGGAGTCAGGGTGAGCAATAGCGATCCTGCTCTCTAAATATGAGGTATCTGTGTTCTGATTGCTGATTGCTGGTTCTGATCACAGAGGTGCAGACACACAGGAGGGCAGCCATTGTCGCACAGCTCTCCCACCCACTGAGTTGTTGCGATCCTCTTCCCCGTTGGCTGAAACAACTTTCAGGGGATTTAAAATAGGGTTACCTTTTGTTACTCCTCTTTATTTTCCTATTTTTCCCCTTTGGGGAGCCAGCAATCTAAGGACTAGGACATTCAAAGGCAATCATATATACAGGGGAATTCAGAAAATCACTATGCAGGCCCAGGGAAAGTCACAAGCTCAGAACAGAGATACCTTAAAACAGTTTTTTAAAGCAATTCCTGGAAAAGCGGGGGAGTCAGACCTCTAACAATACCACAGTATAAGATTAAAATGTCTAGCTTTAAAGAAAAATAGGCCGGGCGTGGTGGCTCATGCCTGTAATCCCAGCACTTTGGGAGGCCAAAGCAGGCGGATCATGAGGTCAGTAGATCGAGACCATCCTGGGTAACACGGTGAAATCTCATCTCTACTAAAAACACAAGAAACATTAGCCGGGCGTGATGGTGAGCGCCTGTAGTCCCAGCTACTCGGGAGGCTTAGGCAGGAGAATGGCGTGAACCCGGGAGATGGAGCTTTCAGTGAGCTGAGATTGCGCCACTGCACTCCGGCCTGGGCAATAGAGTGAGACCCCATCTCAAAAAAAGAGAGAAAAAAGGTATAAGACACAAAAAGAAACAGAAAAGTATGGTCTATTCAAAGGAAAAATGAATCAACAGATATTGTCCCTGAAAAAGACCTGGTTGCAGATCTACTAGTTAAAGACTAAATGACTATCTTAAAGATGCTTGGCATTAAAAGATATGGACAAAGATAAGTAAATTCTAAAGCTGAAAAGTACAATAACTAAAAGAAAATCTAGAGCGATTCAAAAACAAATGTAAACAGGCAGAAGAAAAAAATAAGTAATCTTAAATATATGACAACTTGAGTGATTGAGTCTGAGGAACAGAAGAAAAACAAATGAAGAAATGGGAACAGATCCTAAGGGACTTGTGGGTCACTACCAAGCAGACTAACATATGTATTGTGGGATTACCAGAAGGAGAGGAGAGATAAATGGGCAGAGAAATTATTTGAAGAAATAATGGCCAAAAACTTTTCAAATTTGATGGAAAATATGAATATAAACATCCAAGAAGCTCAATGAACTTCGAGAAGTATAAACTCAGAGAGAATCATATTGAGGCACATTATAATCAAACTGTCAATAGACAAAGAGAGAATCATAAAAACAGCAAAAGAGAAGCAACTTAACACATGCAAGAGACTTCCAGTAATATTAATAGAAGATTTCTCATTAGAAACCTTGGAAACAAGAGGCAGTGGGTTTATATATTTCAAGTGCTAGAGGAAAAAATCATCAATGAAGAATTCCATATATGGCAAAACTGTCCCTCAAAATGAGAGAGTAATTAAGACATTCCCAGATAATGGAGAAAGTTCCTTCACTAGATCTGCCCTGTAAGAATTGCTGAAAAACTGCCAGATGAAAAGAATGAACCCTGGATGGTAACTTGAAGCTGAGTGAAGAAATAAATACCCCAGTAAAGGTAAATACACAGACAGTTATAAAAGCTAGTCTTATTGTAACTTTGGGTTGTAACTCCACTTTTTGTATTCTACATGGTTTAAGAGGATAATACATTAAAAATTATTAGTCTATGTCTTTGGACACACAATGTCTAAAGGTGTAATTATGTGACATCAATAACTGAAATGGTAAAGGACAAAGATGTATAGGATCAGACATTCTTATGTTATTGACATTAAGTTGGTATAAGTTCAAATTAGGCTATTATAATTTTAGGAGTTAAATGTAATCTCAATGATAACCACAAAAAATAGCTATAGAATATACAACAAAGGAAATGAGAAAGGAATTCAAATGCTTTACTAGAAAAAAAAAATCAAGTAAACACAAAAGAATTAATGCAGGGAATAAGGGAAAGAAAAATTATAAGGCATATGGGAAGCAAAAAGCAAAATGACAAAAGTAACTTCCTTTTTATTAGTATTACTCCACAAGAAAATAGATCAGACTTTCCAATCAAAAGAGGTAAGCAGAATGGATAAACAAATAAAAACAAGCATGATCCAACTGTATACTGTCCATAAGAGACTTACATTAGATCCCAAAACACAAATAGATTGAGAGAGAAAGAATGTAAAAAGATATTCCATGCACATAGTAATCGAAAGAGAGTAAGACGGCTATACTAATATCAAACAAAATAGACTTTAAT